TGGGTGAACGATGTTTAAACGACTGGACGATTTCCAAAGGTGTAATATCTGCTCCTGTTTTTTACCTTTCTTTTTTTTTTTTTTCCCCCCCAGTGCTTTCAACCAGAGCTCCCCTGGGCCAAGTGCAACCAGCCCTGGAACACCGATCGCTGCATCGAGGACACCTACCGCAAGAACAAAAGCTTCTGGGTGGCTGCCAACGCCTCCAACTTCACCTCCCCCGTCACCGAGTTCTGGGAGTAAGTTACATAAAAGCCCGCGCCGTTGCGTAAGAAGCTCGGGCCGTTCGCCGACTTTTCCGCGTCGAGTTTGGCCTCCTAAAGGTTTCCCTTCTCTCTGTGCGTTTGCAGACATAATGTGTTGGGCATCACCAACGGGATCGAGGACATCGGCCCTGTGAAGTGGGACCTGGCCCTGTGCCTGCTCCTGGTCTGGGTCATCTGCTTCTTTTGCATCTGGAAGGGCGTCAAATCCACCGGAAAGGTACGAGACAAAGGGGGGAGAGACGTTGGGGGGGTGGGGGGACGCTCACATGATTCCCTTTAACCTCTGGTCCGACGGAGAACAGTGGGGCTGTGTCCCAAACTCCAATAACCGCTTTTGTTCCCCGTTTGGACGGTAATAGACAGATTTGGATCTCTCCAAATTCCGCCGCTTTTAACCCGATTAAGCCGGATCCGAGAAAAATAGGAAGAATATTTAATTTTTTTTTTGTGGGAAGTCTTTCTTTGCCCCCTCAACAACATACGAAGGAGAAAAAACAGCAATTATTTCGATCAAATTAGTGAAAAATATGTTTTGGTGTAGTCTTTTACTGGCTGTTTTCAGGTATATCTGAATGTGTACAACAGCGGTTTGAGCAAAGCTTTTACCACTGAATGATGCAAAAAGTCTCGGATCCAAAAGACCTTATAACCGTATGAATCAAATATGACACATTTGGCATTATAGGGATAAAGACGTCCCAGTCCTAGACGGCCAGTCGAGCATTTTCAAGCTCACCGGGCCCAAAATTCACAATTTCTGCTTTTAGGAGTGAATAAAAGTCCCGTAAATAACTTCACAGAAGCAGAAATCTGGGCGGCAACACGTGGCTGTATCATCCAATAGGATGTCGGCTCTTTGGCCGCCTCGTTTGTAGCTTTTTTTTATTAACAGTTGAGTGTTTGGGACCGTGTCGGACAGTGCAAACGGCAGCTGGCCGGAGACCGGTGGCGATCAATCCCAGACTACTCCTCTCACGGCCTCCACACTCCCCATCGATCGGTCGGGTCTGATGTATGCTTCCTGCCTGTTCCGAGTCGTAATAAAACCCCTCCTGCAGGGCCGTGTGTGGTCACCGCTCCCCGCAAAGCAGACGGTGATCCACGGCTATTGATTCAGGGGGACAGCCCGTGGTCTGTCGCTCAAATCTGTCCGTGTTAGTCACCCCGAAGCGCGTTTCAGGGTTTGTTTATCGGCTCTAAACGGCACTAGACGGACGGATAGAGGAGCTTTGTTGATCCTCAGCTGGAAATGAGGCTAAAAAGTATGGAAAGCAAAAGTAAAATACCCCAAAAAGCAGAAAAAATACTCGGATTTACATTAAAATTCTCCAGTTCTCCCCGCGACCCCATTAGGGAATAAGCGCTAACGATAATGGATGGATGGACGGACATTAAAAATCTCAATTATGAACTCAAAAAAGTATGGATACTAAAACGTTGTATCCGGATACAATACTAATTTTCAAAAGTTTCTATACCACTGACCTCCCAACGCTGTTCCCCTTCTGTCTGATTTATTTATTTATTGAATTACGTTGTTTATGATCTTTAACGTGACGTTAGCCTTGAATTGCTAGCAGCGGCTAACGGCTAACAATAACACGATAACATTAAAGCGGGCCACCGGCCACCAAAACATCAGTAAGAGGTCAGTTTGAAACCAAAGACACTAACAAACTGTCGAGATTCTGTTCAATTTTGGGGTCTTTGTTTCGAGTTGAACATTTTAGTATTGTGACAACCCTGCTTTAAACTGCTGACGGCTCTTTAAACCAGGGTTGTCAAAAGTATCGATACTCATAAAAAGTATGGATACGTATCCGGAAATGATACTCATTTTCAAAAGTTTCTATACCACCGATTGATTGATTGATTGATTGATTTACGTTGGTTATGATCATTAACGTGACGTTAGCCTTGAATTGCTAGCTGCAGCTAATGGCTAACGACAACACGCCAACATTAATACAGGATAACATCAGTAACAGGTCAGTTTGAAACCAAAGACACTAACCTTTCCAAATTCTGTTAAATTTCGGGGTGTTTTTATCCTTGTAGTACCGAAAATGGTATCAAATATTTTCCTGAGTATCGGTATCGAGTTGAACATGTTAGCATCGTGACAAACCCGGGTTTAAGCTAACCTGAACCTGTGTGGTGACCCTCCTCGTGCGCTCTCCCCCCAGGTGGTCTACATCACGGCCACGTTCCCGTTCGTCATGCTCATCGTGCTGCTGATCCGCGGCGTGACGCTGCCCGGTGCTTCTAAGGGCATCGTGTTCTACCTTTACCCGGACCTGGAGCGCCTGAAGGACCCAGAGGTAGGCATCAGAACGGGAGCCCGGGGGGGCTCTTTCTGCTGTGCAACTCTGCCCAGTAAATTGGGGATTTGCAGACGTGCGCTCTGGTACCGAACTGTAAAGGTGGCAAATTAGGCCCCAAATTAAGCAGAAAACAGATGGAAATACCTCAGAAATACCGACTCTCTCCCTATTTTCAAAACAAAACTCAAAACCCACCTGGCTTTGGATGTTTTCTTCGTTTTCAATGTTGTTTTAATGACGGTCGTCTTTGTAAAGTGTCCTTGAGTGGCTTTTTAAAAATAAAAGGTATTATTATTATTATTATTATTTAAGGCAGTTGTGTGTTAGGGTTAGGGTTCCTTCTTAGAAAATGTTTTAAAAAACAAGAAAAAAAAAGCTCCTTAATGGTACTAGTGACGGTCCAGATGGCTGAAACCGTGATCTCAGCCACAGCACAGCAGAGAGGGACCATTTCTAAACCTTTTTAAAAAGAATAATTATTCAAATAAAAACCAGTAGTGGGTTTCTGCCGAGTCCTGGAGAGGTTCAGAAGCTGTCTTGGACTTCTCCTCATCAGAAGCCTCAGCCTTTTTTTGCCCCCCCCCCGCCCCTCTTAACACCTCCAGGTCTGGATTGACGCCGGGACTCAGATCTTCTTCTCCTACGCCATCTGTCTGGGCGCCATGACCTCCTTGGGGAGCTACAACAAGTACAAATACAACTGCTACAGGTGAGGCCTCAGTTTTCAGGGAGGGGGGTTGGCGGTGGGGGAGGGGGGG